GAAAAACTACATCTTTACTTTCCAAGCATTGGTATGGGCAGATAGCAGGTAGGTAGTGACTATTTCTAAGAATCATATGTTACTGGAGGTTTTAATACTCACTGCCTATTTGAAACTAATGTAAGGCTAGTATTAACTCAAATTGTGAGTTTTTATGTGTTTATTTGCTTACAAGAATTCTTTTATAGTTTGACATTTTCTTGCATCATCAATTTTTCTGTTAAGAAACATGAAAATTGGGGTCAGTGAGATGTCTCAGCAGGTCACAGCAATGCTGCCAAGTCCAAAGACCAGAGTTAGATCCCTGGAACTCCCATAAGCTTTATGATTTCCACACTTAGGGCACAGTACACACACACAAACACACACACTAACACACACATGTACATGGACATGAACAACATATATCAAAAGTAACAAAGTTTGCTTTTAAAAAAAGAGCAGAGAATTTGCTAAAGTATCTGGGAAAATTCTAAGGAATTGGAGCAGAGGCAGTAGGCAGATTAGGCAAGGGGCTGCATATACTGTGGGACCGAGACAAAACACAATTGAAGAAAGGCAAGAATGACTAGAAGGGGCCAGAAAGAGATGCCAGACCAAGGTAGATGCCAGGAGTGGGTATGAGTTACATGTGTGCTGGAACTACTGTGTGACACACAACAGGATACATGGGAGAGAGCTGAGAATGGCAATGTGATATCTCATGGGAGACACACAGGTATGATACTCTTGATAACTGCCAAAATCTATTAGAACACAATGCTGCTCCAGTCAAAGGAGGTGGCACTGATCTTCAAAGCAAACTCAGGGGACTGTCACTAGGCTGGGTGCTTGCATTCCCTAAAAAGAAGATTGGAGGATTTCTGTTCAGATGTGGTAACGTTCAGAGGTGGGTCCATCCATTGTTGCTTAGACTAAGTTATTCACGAATAAGATGAGTGCAGGAAGCAGGCCCTTGCTAGATATGAAACCTGCCAGAGTCTTGGATTTGGCCTTCCCAGTCTCCTGAACTATAAGAGATAAATGTATGTTATTCATAAGTCCGCCAATCTATAATAATCTGTCACAGCACCATGACCAGACAATGATGAAAATGGGTGTGATGGATCAAGATTTTCCCCCCCATAGAATATCTTTGTTGTTGTTGTTGTTGTTGTTTTTCCGAGACAGGGTTTCTCTGTGGCTTTGGAGGCTGTCCTAGAACTAGCTTTTGTAGACCAGGCTGGTCTCAAACTCACAGAGATCCCCCTGCCTCTGCCTCCCGAGTGCTGGGATAAAAGGTATGTGCCACCACCACCCTAGAATATCTTTTATTCCACTGCTTTTCTAGGATTCACAGATTCTCCCCAGTCACTTGAGCACAAATGGGTCAACATGAAGGAATGCAAGCTCACGTGGATGCTAAAAGGTGGAAATGAGTTTCAAGCCAAAGACTGTTGCGTGCAAGGTCTGGCCATCTGCTCTACACTCAGCATTCAGCAGTGGCTGAGAATTCTGATTAATGGTGTGAGGAAGAACTCAACTCCCAGAGTGTAATTCACACTGTGGGGCAGCTAAATCGTGGCTGTAATGGCAAATGTCCTCCTGTCAGTCTAGTGAATGGTGTCATCGATGTTGACCTTCTACAACTGAGAGCAAGCTTTAAATGTGACTCTCCGTGTCCTGTGGTTCAATACTGGCAAAATGGCCTCTGTCCAGAATTATTCATTCCTGTGCCCAATCCCTGGATATGCATCCGAGGGTTCATTCTTGTCTATCCCCGATGGTTCCATCAAAGCTGTATCCTAGGACGGAGCTTCAGGGTACCACAGGGATCCTGTAGGCTGAGGGTTCATTTGGGGAGCCAACCCTTGAGCCAGTCTTAGCATTGCTTCCCTCATTTCATAGCTTAGCCTTCCAAACACAACAAAGCATGTAGTACTGACCCAGGCATAAATGGTCTCTGCCCCGGTTTTCATGGTGGGCCAGTTCTCTGTCCATAGTCTTCATTTTCCTCCAGCTGTTTCTATGGTCCCTTCCAGACCTGCGCAGTTCTGATCATCTTGTTCATGCTCTAGACACTCTAGCTTATTACTGTCTATAACCCTGTGTTTCCCAGACACCAGCATGAGAAGGGTTCAGAAGGAAAAGGGAAGAGAGACTCAAAGTGCAACGAAAGTGAAAAACAACGGACCACTCCATCAAATAGAACACAAAGCTGTACGCATTTCTGACATAGTCAGCTAGCCTGACACCCAGGGAAAACCTTACAGAAAAACAAGCTCTCCTGCTCACCTGCCCTTATAACAATATCTGCTTTCTTTTTCTGCAGGGCGCTATGGAAGTACTGGGAACATTTGTAGTCTATTGCCCCCCCCAACCCCCGCTCTGCACACTGAAAGGTTCAAAGGGAGCAGAGACTTTTATCTCTGACACCTGTAACAGGTGCTACAGGTGCCAAGTCAACATTTAATGAGGAGAACTCCCTGTTCTCAGGGTCACCGAGTCTTAGTTACTGTTCAATCCTGCGATAAAACGCTATGACCAAGGCAACTTATTGAAGGAAGTACTTATTGGGCGTGGGGTTCCAGAGTGTTAGGATTCATAGTGGCGGGGGCAACAGTATGGTGGCAGGTGGCAGACATGGCAGCTAGAGCTAGAAGCTGAGAGTTGAAGGGTTCACATCCTGACCTTCAAGCATGAAACAGAACAAACTTAGAATGGCAAGGAGCCCTGAGACCTCAAAAACTACCCCCAGCTGGAGGATGTACTTCCTCCAAAAAGGCCACACCTCCTAAACCTACCCAAACAGCACTGAGGACTGAGGATCAAGTCCTCAGAGAAACACTCTGGGGGACATCGAATTATAACCACCACACATTGAATTATAACCACCACACTGAGACTCACTTTCACCTCAGTAAACTCATGGCACAGAGTGGGAAGAAGAACAGACAGACTCCCCTCTGTCCAATGGCTGCATCTAGGCTGTCCCCCCAGGGTCAGCAGTATCCCTGCCCTTCCAAACCTCCAGCATCATTAATCCTATTCCACAGCAGCCCTCAGAGTGTCATAGTCCCCTGTTCCTTTCACATTAGTTGATCTGCACTTAATTGGGCTCTGAGCTGCTGCAGCATAAGCATAGACTTGCCAGAGAAGGAAATAGACACTATAATAACTATTATTTACCATTGATATATACAAACATGCCAACTCTTACATGCCTTACTGTCATAGTTACTTCTCTACTGCTGTGAGAAAACACCATGAACCAGGCAACTTAACAAAAAAGCATTTAATTTGGGGCTTATGGTCTCAGAGCATTGGAGTTCATGGTGGCAGAATAACGGCATGGTGGCAGGGAACAGAGAGGGCTTACATCTTGATCCACAGGTTGGAGGGAAAGAAAGAGACAACCAGAGAGACAAAGACAGAGACACACACACAGAGACAGAGACTGATACTGGGAGGAATGGCATGAGTCTTTGAAACTTCAAAGCCCACCTCTTCCAACAAGGCCACACCTCCAAATCCTTCCCAAACAGTTCCACCAACTGCAATCCAAGTATGCAAGCAAATGAGCCTATGGGGTGCATTCTCATTCAAACCACCACAATTACCTTTTGTAATCCATGCAACAACCTGAGGTAGGCACCATTTTTAATTTCGTTGTGCAGTTCAGGAAACTGAGGTGAACCAGGAGCCTTAGATGTGTACAGGTCTTATTTAAGTGTAGGACTCCAGGACTCCATACAGCTAGCTAGGTAAGTTGCACACTCAAGAAACCCGGCCTGGTCCTCTCTGTGGAGGAGATGCAATGCTTGAGGGTCAAGGCAAGTGTGGTTGGAGACTGGTTTGAAAGTGGAGAACCCAAGTCTCTTAGTGTCAAGGCCTGAAGTCTGGAGGAAGGAAGGGAGGAGGACCAATGAGAGAAGAGCAATGGGATAGGGACTAATTGTCTGCTTTATTGAACTGTTAAAACTGTGTCAAAGAAAATGCAAGTGTTGGAACCCTGGCAATACGCTGACCCTGCCCCCTGACAATGGGCGGGATACACATACCGCCATTCAGGCAGATAATTATACAGTTCAAAGGGCCCTGTGTTGCGTGGTCACGTCATGGCTATGTCATGCGTCAAGGCTGCGTAAGGACTCTGTATGCATGTGCAAGCTTTCCCTTTTAAGCGAGCACTTTCTACATGTTCGCCCCTTCTTCCTTCTTCCCCACTTTGCCTTTGTCCCCCCTCCCTGTTCCATTCCCCCAATAAATTCCACATGGGTTTATTGAGTCTCCTGGTTCACGGTCCATTGTGGTGTAATTTAAGCAAAAGAACAGCAGCAAGTTCTTAAAAATCTTAATAAAAAAAAAAAAACTCATTTCAGTAGAGTTTGGAGCCAAAGAGTTTACAAATGACAATAATGAAAAATTTTAATTTCTGCAGTATATTGCACCTGACCATCCAGGGCAAGAGTTAGTGGATATCCTTTTCCTATTACCACCTCTGTCCCTAGCACAGGCTTCCGGGGAGTCTTTCTTTCTTCCTTTCCTTCCACAGGATTAAAAGGGAACAAAGCAAACAGAGAGGCTCTGTGGCTGTGGCTCTAGCTCTTTCTTTACAGTGTCATCGTGTCAAAAGCAAAAGCACAAAGCACACAGCAAATGTAGCCCAAGGCTCTTCACTAGTCTTCTGCATCCCCACTGATGGGAGCAAATGGGAGCCTATGCTGGGAGTAATTGCTTGCATTTGGCATGCCTGGCTCAGTGCCAGGGTTCCAGGGCAGGCTCAGGGAAGGGCACCGGCAAGGAGAACAAACACTAAAGAAAGGCAGGAAGAGAGGCAGAAGGAAAGAGGTACCAATGGGTGACAAGGGGAACCAGGAGACAAAGTCTTTGCTCAGCTTACAGTGAATACCACTCTCCTAACATGCCACCATGTGGCACCATGATGACAAAGGACTAAACCTCTGAAAATGTGAGCCACCCCAATTAAATGTTTTTTTGTTTTTTGTTTTTCTCCATAGGAGTTGCCATGGTCATAGTGTCTCTTCACAGCAATAGAAACCCTAAGGAAGACAGAAGTTGGTACCAGGCCTGGAGTATTGCTGTAATAGGCCTGATCATGCCTTTGGTTGGAAGGAATTTGGACTTTGGTACTTGGGGTTAGAAAAGCAGTGGAAGGCTTTAAGCACCGCTTGATGGGCCATACAGTAGGAGAATGGAAGACAGTAGTGCTAAGAGTTACTGGAACTGTGAGGGGCTGGCTCAGGATGTTTCAGAGGAGGAGAATTTTAATATGTTGCCTAGAAATTTTTCTTGTGATGTTTTGGTAAAGAATGTGGCTGCTTTTTGACATTGTCTGAAAAGTTTGTCTGAGACTAAAGTGAATTTTTTGATTAATTGCCTTGGTAGAGGAAATCTTAAAACAGCCTAGAATAGACTCTGTTGTGTGGCTACTAATGTTGAGTCTAATGAAGACACGTAATGAAAAGGAGCAATGAGCAACAAAAAATATTTAAGGAGAAAAGGAACACCAGGAAGTAGAATAGAGGTAAGTCCCGTGTTCAAGGAGATAAACAGATTAAGAAATGGAATAGCCGGGCGGTGGTTGTGCATGCCTTTGATCCCAGCACTGGGGGTGGGGGGGGGCAGAGGCAGTGAGTATATGAGTTCGAGACCAGCCTGGTCTACAAGAACTAGTTCCAGGACAGCCTCCAAAGCCACAAAGAAGCCTTGTCTCAAAAAACAAAAAAGAAAAAAGAAAGAAAGAAAGAAAGAAAGAAAGAAAGAAAGAAAGAAAAAGAAAAGTTTAGAGCTGGTTGTGGTAGTGCACACCATTAATCCCAGCATTCAGAAGGCAGAGGCTGGCAGATCTCTGAGTTTGAGGCCATTCTGGTCTACAGAGAAAGTTCAAGGATAGCCCAGTTTAGGTGGTGAAGGAAAGTGGAAAGCTGGTGAAGATGTAATTAAACAACAGGGCCATGTTCCAACCCTAGCAAACAGCAGAACTTGGCAACTCCAGCCATGTGATTCTGGAGTTAAGGACAGAAGAAAGGGGTTATGGAATTTGCCTCTGCATGAAAGGAAAGCCACTGAGGCCAGGCATGTGTCAGTGGTATCCCTGAATGGAGGCCTAACCAGGCCATTGAGTGAAGCTGTGAAGTTGAAGCCTGGTTTGCCTTGGAGACCCAAAGAGGTTGGAGATGCCAGAGCAGTGAGGAGAGCAGCTAACAGGGAGTGGAACCAGCCCAAGAGAAAGGAGTGTGTCACAGTCAACAAAGCTGAAAGGAACTGGAGATCTGGAGTACTTTGACATAATACATGGATATGCAGAGTTTGGAGTTTGCCCAGCTGGTTTTCAACCTTGCTTTGTTCCTTCCCTATGTTTTGGAATGGTAATGCATATCCTGTGCCATTATATGTTGGAAGTATATTTTTGCTTTTAATTTTGATTTTATGTTGGGAAACCTTGCAGGTCAGAGGTTGCAGCCTATCATGGCCTGGCAGCTTTCTCCAAAGCTTGATGACATGGGGACTCCCCCACTCCCACCCTGCCCAGTGAGACTTCCTGTCCTTTACCTGCCCTTATCTGGGGAGAATGTCCCTGGGCCCAGAGGACTGACCTTATCTGAAAATTGTCTCTAAGCCTGGATGCCTGATTTATCTTTAGCATGACCCTTGGCACAGTTCCCTGCTAAAAGCCTCCCCTGCTGCACATATGGTAGCTAAGACTAGGAGCCTTCCTATAGGACCCTGCTGCCACATATGAAGCCTTATGATAGAGGTGTGCCACCTAATGCAAATTAGGGTTTGTCCCCAGGTTTCCCAACCCTGTATATTCTTTATACTCTGGAATAAAGTTCAGCTGATTCACTGAAGTCATCTCCCAGAGTGCTGTCTCTATCATACCCACAGCCGCCTGGAACCTGTTCTCTGCTTCTGCTCCCTCCTCCCTCACGGATCAAGGCAACAATGATCTCAAGGAAGCAGAGCCACAATTTTGTGGGGGATTGCAGTTAAGATATTGTATGAATCTCAGAAGACACTTTGAACTTTTGACTTTTAAATAAAATTGAAACTGTTATAGACTATGGGGACTTTTGAATGCATTTTTTTGCATTATGATATGGTTACTAGCCTTAGGGGGGCAGAGAGGGGAATTTGATGGTTTGAAAGAAAATGGCCCCCAAAGGGAGTGGCACTATTAGGAGGAGGTATGGTCTTGTTGGAGGAAGTATGTCACTGTGGGAGGTGTACTTTGAGGTCTCATATATACTCAAGCCACACCAGGTTAGACAGACTACTTCCTGTTGCCTGCAAGTCAAGATGTAAGACATTCAGCTCCTTCTCCAGCACTATGTCTGCCTGCATGCCACCATGATGATAATGGATGAAACCTCTGAAAATGTATGCCACCCCAATTAAATGTTTTTCTTTTATAAGAGTTGCTGTGGTCATGGTGTCTCTTCATAGCAATAGACACAGTGACATACCTCCTCCAACAATGCCACACCTCCTAATCCTTTCCAATCAGGTGCCCCAACCATTAAACACTCGAACATATGAGTCTATGGGGCCCATCCTCCTTTATAACCCCGCTCTTGAGTATTCCATCTCCAGAATTTATTTATTCTGCAGATCTGAAATTTATACCCTTTGACCAATATTCTCTTTTCACCACTCCAGGCCTTTGGTGATCTTCCAAAGAGTTACTAGAGCTATTTTGTTCCTAAGGGTTCAACTTTTTGGATTCTAAAAAAAAGTGAGATTACACAGTAATTGTTCTGGCTTAATTCACTTAGCATAATGTTCTCCAGGCTCTTGCATATTGTCACAGATGACAAAACATCCTTTTTATTTTTAAAGAATCATCTATTGATGGACATTTGGATGGCTCCATGTCTTCTGATTGTATGAATTGCTATGAACACGGTAACAGAAATTTCTCTTTGGATATGTGCTCAGAAATGACATTATTGGATCGTATAGCTGTTCTATTGTTGTTTTATTTATTTTTTTGAGTAATCCCCAAATTGATAACTGCTTATCAATTCTCCATGGTTAAATCTAAAAAGAAAATCAGGAATACAGAAATCATTCACATGGTATGCTAGTGTCTTGTCACAGTTACCAACACCTAAAATAATAAAAAGGGGAAAGACTCATTTTGAATCATGGTTTCAGTCCGAGGTCAGTTGGCACATTGCTGTTGTCTCTGTGATAAGGTCAAACGTCATCGTCAGATGGACATGATAGATCACAACTGTTCACCTGTGATGGCCAGGAAGCAGACACCATACAACCTTGCTTTTTTCCCCCTTGTGCTGATATGGTGAACATTCCTAAGACCCACCTGCCATCTGACTTTCTACAAGATATGTGGCAAGCACCAGCCCCACAAAGTGACCACCACTTCAAGAAAGGCAAGCATGCTTTGTATGTCCAGGGAATACACAGTGTTCTGACAGGAAACAGTGGCTGTGGTGGGCCGACTAAGCCCATTTTCCACAAAGGACTCAAACTGCTGACTGTGCTGAGACCTGAGTGTAAGCCCATCTGCAGATCTGAAAGGATGCTTCCTACTCTGAGATATGAGCACTGTGACTTCCAGGCGGTGAGAAGAGAAAGTGACAAGAGGTCCAGCTCTCAGCTGGTTTTGTTATGAGGGGAAAAAAAAAATCATGAGCTGTTATTCAAAAACAAAAGCAAAGAAAATATAATCTACAACAACATGCTTTGGTGATCTACTTCTTTCAACTAGGCCCCACTTCTAGAAAATTTTACTGCATAATAATTAAATTACGGATCCTTCAATAGATTAATCCATTCGTTAGTTTAGCTAAGCATTCTCATGATCTAATCACCTCTCTTACAACAGGATATGAAGCCTTTAATGCATGAGCCTGGGGGAGACACTTCCTATTTAACAGGTGGGAGAAGCTGAAACTTGATGCCTGAGCCGTTTGAACTTACAAACAGGTTTCTAGAGAGCCTGTCTTCCAAGGTGTGACACTTGAACTTTGTACCTTCCCATCAAAACATGCATGTGGGATTGTTGCAAAGAGGTATATCCAGCCTTTCCACTTGAAAGAATATGGGAATTCATTATTTCTAGTGTTCCTTGTGTTCAAATGTTGGCATCTTACACAGCAGTGGTTTTTATTTATTTATTCCTTAAAAAATTTTAAAACAACTTTTTCCTTGTTTACCAAGTAAAAAAGTAAATTAAAAAACTTTTTACGCTGGGTGGTGGTGGCACACGCCTTTAATCCCAACACTCTGGAGGCAGAGGCAGGCAGTTCTCTGTGAGTTCAAGGCCACCCTGGTCTACAGAGTGAGTTCCAGGACAGCTGTCTTAACAAAAACAAATAAACATAAAATTTGAATTTAAAATGGGGCTGGAGAGATGCCAGTAGTTAAGAATACTGACTGCTCTTCCAGGGGTGCAGGTTCATTTCACACAAATGATGACTTACAACCATCTGTATCACTAGTCCCAGGGGGCCAATGACTCCTTGGCACTTATACAAATTAAATATTTTTTAATATATAAACTCATGCTTTAAAATAATTTCTTAGCATGGCTAATAGTATTGGGTTAAACTTTCCAGGATTTTCTGGACTTGTACCTCTTATTTCTATGTTCTTCACACAAATGGATTGTACTGTACACAATGTTCTTTTTCATCTTTGGCAATATTCAAACTACTGTTTGCCTTTGGTGATGGATGGATACCAGACTCCCTATGAGCATAAATTCTGAAAATGTTCAAGTCCACTTACAGATGTCATAGTGTTCGCATAGAACTGTTCTGAATCCTTCCATGTATTTTGAACTACGTATGGTGCAAATGGTAGATAAATTGCTGTTATTTTGTTTAGAAAATAATGCATGAAAAAGAGGTCTGTACATGATCAGTGCAGATACAATTTTTCTTTTCAGATAGTTCCAGTCTGAGACTGTCTGAATTCAGGGATGTGTGAAGATAAAGGAGTGATTGTCTTATCAATTTATGAACCTCCAAGAACTTAATTTGTATAAATTTGCCTTATTTATCGGGACAGTCCTATTAACAAGTATATAGGTGTTTTCTAGTTTGTCTTAAAATGCTTTGGTAATGTCTTTGCTAACTTGCCCAAGTCTGACAGGATGCATTCCTAGAAGTTGCTGGGCCCAAGGCTGTAGTTACTTCCAATTTTGTATTCCCAACTCAGGTTAAGTTATTTGAGCCATCCTTTGTTCATCATTGTAAGTAATTAGATAATAACTTTCTCAAAGGGCTAAGTGAGATGGAGGCTTCAAGTCTAGTATGCAGAAAGAAGGCTCTCAATGGCTTTCCTTGTCCTGTGCTTAGAAAGACAAGTCTGGGCTGCCCAGATGGCTCAGCTGATAAAGGCACCTGCTGCCAAATGTGACCACTTCAGTTTGATCTCCAGGACCCACATGGCAGAAGAAAAGAATGGACTCCTACCAGTTGTCCTCTGAGCTAACTCCACACGTGCTATATGTATGTACCCACCCATGCCCAGTGTGTGTGTGTGTGTGTGTGTGTGTGTGTGTGTGTGTGTGTGTGTGTGTGTGTGTGTGTGTGTGTGAGTTGTTTCACTGCTGTGATAAAACACCATGAAAACCAACTTGATGAGGAAAGGGTTTATTTTGCTTACCCTTCCACATCACAGTTTCCATCTAGGAAGGAAATGAGGGCAGTAACTCAAGGCAGGAACCTGGAGGCAGGAACTGATGCAGGGGCTGTGGAGAGGGGTGCTGATTACTGGCTTGCTCCCCAAGACTTGCTGAGTCTGCTTTCTTATGTCCGCCGGGACACCTGCCCAGATGCGGTACTTGTCTTTCATCAATCAAGGAAATCTACCACAGGCTTGCCTGAAGGCCAATCTGGAGGAGCTTTTCTTTCAAGTGAGATTCCCCCTTCCAAAATGACTCTACCCTTTGTCAAATTGACATAACTAGCCAGCACTACACATACACATAACACACACACACACACACACACACACACACACACACGCTCACTTAAGAATATAACCGTGGCTGACTATAGCATTGACCATGAGTTCAATATACACACATTCACAGAAAACTCTATAGTACCACCTAAACACTATTATTGGCTGTAACTACCTAACTCTCTGGGGAGTCAAAAAAATTTTTTTTCCAGCGCTGGGTGGCAAACCCAAGGGCTCATACATATTTGTCTTTCATTCTTCAACCCCCAGACCAAGAAGCTACAAATCTGACAGTGAATTTAAATAACAACTTCCTGAGGTAATAGAATCGACTTTATTTACCTAGAATATGTATCCTTAATAAAAAATATAATGTATTAAACTATTGCAACAACTAAGGCAAATCTTGCAGGGGCGTCTTTTGTGAAAAATCTCATTGCTCAATTTATGTCACCCGTTTATTAATAAAATCCATATAGAATCAACTGTGGACAAACTACTCTGAATTAAAGACGTTATACTTTGGACTTCTCTTTCAACTTAAGGAGACCTGTTGTTCCCTCAAACCTCTGAGGCATTTTTTTTTTTTTTTTTTTAATGCTCCAAAGGGCAGAAGTGGGTCATCTCAGAATGGAGTCCCTAAGCGTCCAGGCCAAGAAGCCCAGGCCAGACCTCAGCCTTGGGGAAACTCCATGTAGGAGGCAGGATCTCCCAGCCCGGGAGCAGGAAGCCATTGCTCGGCCCGGGCTGGCTGTCTATGTGGCACTCGCGGTCGTCAGCCCCCAAGCACCCCGACCCCTCCGCCCCCGCCCCGCCGAGGCCCGGGGATCCCAGGCAGGTAGCTCGG